ATCACGTATCATATTCATATGGATTTATTTTCAATTTATTCTCCATCTCTATATAAATGTTTTGTATATACGTTTAGCAAATGCGAACACATATATGTAAATTGAATGTGAAATACTTATAATGCGAACACATATATGTAAATTGAATGTGAAATACTTATAATGCGAACACATATATGTAAATTGAATGTGAAATACTTATAAGGCATATGAATAAGCTACATCAATAGAATATTTTTATATCAACCCGACCAACCCACACGATTTGTATTGCATTTTAGTTTTGATTGGGTTGAGATTTTTCAAATCATATACATTGAATTAAGTTGTTGAAATGCTTTTAACCCGATCAACTCAATCCATTATCACACTCGGCTATTTTGTCAAATTGTGTTTGGCATTGAAAATGTTAACTATTTTAATTGTTATTTATGATCTACAAAATGTATACATACATACATACATATGCGTGTACATATATGTGGGTATATATATATATTCACTGGAAAATGGAGACGACCTCCAAACTGCAAAGAGAGAATGAGAGCACTGACTAAAAAGATTTAAAGAAAGGAAAACCCTTTTTGTCTATCATGGATCTGGTCTAAATTTCAGCGTTGAATGTTCGTGGGGCATTTGCCAATTGGCAGGCATCTCGAGATTGGATTTTATTTTTGACGGATTTAGAAAATTTATCAATTTAGATAACACGGTCAGTTGATAAATAGAAACTAAAAACATAATTTCTTAAACGAACTTTTTTTAATTGACCCATAAAAATTAAGCCTACAACACGAAAACTAAATATAATTAACTACATGTGTATTTTTGGACGTCGGCTCGGTCCAAACTACTCAAAAGCCATTCAAACCGCAAACCAGACCAAACCGAGCTGTTTGACTGTTTTTTAGACCAAACTAGACCGTCAGACCGCTCAAACCACTAAAAACGGTATGGTTTGATTTGGTTCGGCCGGTTTGAACAGTCCAACAGTTTTTTTGAACACACATTTCTTAATTTTGATTTTCTAAAAACATTTAATAGAACAAAATTTCATTTTATTGGTGAAGAAGGAACATGTAAATTTGGACCAATTCATGCCAAATAAGCATGTTTTAAAATCCTCAATCAATAAATAATGGGCAAAACTTGGTGACATGTTTTACCCTTGAAGTGAAAGCAAAAAGGTGAGAATAATTGAGACCATTATGATGTTAGCTAACAACTTTACATCATCATCATCATCATCATGCATGCTTTCTATTTTCTTTTAATTATGATACAAATCTCAATCCATCATCAGATATCCTTCAATCAATTAAGGGGCCGTTTACCAAATGTTTATCCGAATAAGCGTTTATGAAGTCACGTTACCTCACCAAATGAATATGGTAAGAGCCATGAACATCGCTACCACCTCCAACTCCGTTACCGCTATTATATTTATACGAACTAAACATATAAATTCAAATTCGTTTGAAATATTTCATTTTTTTTTCCTGCCAACCAAACACATCGTCAAACATGATTAAATTTCATTTCAATTCTTTCAGATTCTGATTCCTTTAACATATTTCATTTTATGAACCAAACACCACATAAATCGTTTGGTTTGATTTACAATTTGCATGGAAATGACATCAAACCATATATTAAAGTTTGTAATAGATACTAGTAATTAAAATGTATGGTAACTCAATAATTTAATGGTTTGCTTTATGACTAACAATAATTCAAACCCATTATATTACCCCATCATTTTTTCTCTTTCAATAATTATGCATTATGTAAGTATGAATGGTTGAATATGTTGTTTTTATATGAAAATATAAAAAAAATTAATTTGATCAATTTAAATGGTTTAATTTTAAAAATTGTCTTATTCTTATTGAACTGAATAAGACTTGTGGCTTAAACCAACCGTATTAAATATCAGATATCATAATCATAAAAAGATATATTATTTTTTTTAAAAAAAGTTGTGGAAATTAAAGTTGATTAGGATGTATATACAAACAGCATAATTCCAATTTCCAACCATTAACTCGATC